GTTAGGTTATCCCAACTAGTGATCCCATTGCTGACTAAAACGTACATATGCATAACGAGTGATTCATAATTCAGACCTAAGACTCACTATACACATGCTTTCTTCTGGCACGTGAGGTGAATGTCCGCCATCACTCACCGCCCAAGCGTGATATTTAGATTGATTAATTCATATTGAAGATTCGCGTGCCTAACTGATTGGTTACTGATTTTGTTAATAATCTTATTTTACCACCAGCAATCAACGGTGTTACAGAGGAAAACCACCTTTACTACCATAGGAAGACACCTGAACTACGCCGCAAATAAACAACTATACAGCAGAACAATTTAGAAATCTTTCAGCGTTGACCTTTTTCTTAGGGTTCGGTTCACTCTAGAATCTCACCTCAGATTAGAAACAACAAGAACATCAGAACAGGAATAGGAGGAACGTTAGGACAGGAATAGCAAGGGCATCAGAACAGGAACATCAGTAACATCAATACGGGAACAGTGGTAACATCGAAACAACAAGCACATCAGAACAGAACAGTAGGAACGTAAGGACAGGAATAGCAAGGGCATCAGAACAGCAAGGGCATCAGAACAGGTATAGCAAGGGCATCAGAACAGGAACAGCAGAACAGTAGGAACGTAAGGACAGGAATAGCAAGGGCATCAGAACAGCAAGGGCATCAGAACAGGTATAGCAATGGCATCAGAACAGGAACAGCAAGGGCACCAGAACAGGAACAGCAAGGGCATCAGAACAGCAAGGGCATCAGAACAGGAACAGCAAGGGCATCAAAACAGGAATAGCAAGGGCATCAGAACAGGAACAGCAAGGGCATCAGAACAGGAACAGCAAGGGCATCAGAACAGGAACAGTAAGTGTTTCAGAACAGGAAATGTAAGGGCATCAGAACAGGAACAGCAAGGGCATCAGAACAGCAAGGGCATCAGAACAGGAATAGCAAGGGCATCAGAACAGGACCAGCAAGGGCATCAGAACAGGAATAGCAAGGGCATCAGAACAGAAACAGTAAGGGCATCAGAACAGGAACAGCAAGGGCATCAGAACAGGAACAGCAAGGGCATCAGAACAGGAACAGCAAGGGCATCAGAACAGGAACAGCAAGGGCACCAGAACAGGAACAGCAAGGGCACCAGAACAGGAACAGCAAGGGCATCAGAACAGGAACAGCAAGGGCATCAGAACAGGAACAGCAAGGGCATCAAAACAGGAATAGCAAGGGCATCAGAACAGGAACAGCAAGGGCATCAGAACAGGAATAGCAAGGGCATCAGAACAGGAACAACAAGGGCCTCAGAACAGGAACAGCAAGGGCCTCAGAACAGCAAGGGCATCAGAATAGGAATAGAACAGGAACAGCAAGGGCATCAGAACAGGAACAGCAAGGGCATCAGAACAGGAACAGCAAGGGCATCAGAACAGGAACAACAAGGGCCTCAGTACAGGAACAACAAGGGCCTCAGAACAGGAACAGCAAGGGCATCAGAACAGGAACATCAGTAACATCAATACGGGAACAGTGGTAACATCGAAACAACAAGAACATCAGAACAGGAACAGTAGGTGAATCAGAATGGGAACAGAAGGAACATCTTAATGGGAACAACAGGAACAGCAGGAATATCAAAAGAGAAACAAAAGCCAATTTCAAGAAATGTGGAGAGAAACAACGTAAAGATACGCAAAACAGAAACTGTGCAGACTTTAAAAACAAAATGGGAGACAACACAGTCCTGATATCAATGAAACAAAAAGGAATAAAATGGAAATGAAATCCTATCAAGACTATAAAAGAGAGACTAGAAGAGGAAAGAGAACGGTGACGGTACTGAACACAAAATGTGAACTATGAAGGCACTAAAAACAAGAGCAATAAAAAAACAGAGCTTTGCAGATACCAAAACAGAGACAGAAACAGGAACTTTGTAGTTACTAAAAACAGGCACTGTGGAGGTTCTGAAGACAGGAACTGTTGGAGGTACTGAAAACAGGAACCGTGGAAGCACTGAATACAGGAACTGTGGAGTGCTAAAAATGGGAAATGTGGAAGTACTGAATACAGGAACTGTGGAGTACTAAAAACAGGAAATGTGGAAGTACTGAAAACAGGAACTATGGAGTACTAAAAACAGGAAATGTGGAAGTACTGAATACAGGAACTGTGGAGTACTAAAACAGGAAATGTGGAAGTACTGAATACAGGAACTGTGGAAGAAATGAAGACATGAATTTTGGAGGTATTGAAAACAGAAACTGTCGAGATTCTTAAGACAGGAAGTACTATGGGGATACTGAAAACAGGAAATGTGGAGGTACTAAAACAGGAATTTTGGAGGTGTTGGAAACATGAACTGTGGAGGAACTGAAGAAAGGAACTGTGTAGGTACTGAAAAGAGGAACTGAACTGTGGAATTTTGGAGGTGTTGGAAACATGAACTGTGGAGGAACTGAAGAAAGGAACTGTGTAGGTACTGAAAAGAGGAACTGAACTGTGGAGATAGTGAATACAGGAACTAAAGAGGAATAGAACACAGGGGCTGTTGAGTACTACTGAAAAGGGGAACTGAAAGCAGGAAATGTGAATACTGAAAAAAACTGAGATACTGAAAACAGGCACTGCAGATGAAGAAGAAAACAGGAACTGTGGAGTGATGAAAACAGGGACTATTGGGATACTGAAAACAGGCACTGCAGATGTAGAGAAAACAGGAACTGTGGAGTACTGAAAACAGGAGGTTTGGATGTACTGAAGACAGGAACTACGGAGGTACTAAAACAGGAACCGTTGGGATACTGAAAACAGGAACTGTTGAGATACTGAAAACAGGCACTGCAGATGTAGAGAAAACAGGAACTGTGGAGTGCTGAAAACAGGGACTATTGGGATACTGAAAACAGGCACTGCGGATGCAGTGAAAACAGGAACTGTGGAGTACTGAAAACAGGAGGTTTGGATGTACTGAAGACAGGAACTACGGAGGTACTAAAACAGGAACCGTTGGGATACTGAAAACAGGAACTGTTGAGATACTGAAAACAGGCACTGCAGATGTAGAGAAAATAGGAACTGTGGAGTGCTGAAAACAGGGACTATTGGGATACTGAAAACAGGCACTGCGGATGCAGTGAAAACAGGAACTGTGGAGTACTGAAAACAGGAGGTTTGGATGTACTGAAGACAGGAACTACGGAGGTACTAAAACAGGAACTGTTGGGATACTGAAGACAGGAACTTTGGAGACAAGGAAGACCAGCGAAAGATATGAAACTTAACCTATGATGAAACAAGAAATAAAAGAAAGACAAAGACAGAAAAGACAGAACTAAAAATACTGTGTCATCTAACTATTGTTTTGCTTTGATAAATTTTCGTCTTTCGTTGTGATAGATATTTTAACGACATTGGAAGTTAAATAGGAGGATATTCCAAACACCTACTTACCTTAGTACTTCTGTAATGTAGGTGTTTGTTTTTTCCCGACCAGACGCAGTAACACACCGTACAAATACATCCGGAGTCTGTCACATAATCATGTATACCATGATGTGGCCTTAGTTACAAGGACCAGCTTAGTCAATGTTCGCAGTCATTAGATATGGTATGCAACAGACAGTAAAACCGTTCTCAATACACAACCGTTTCCTTTATTGTTATAATGAAACATTATACTACACACATATGTTTAAAAAGTCTGCTATTGTTACGGAGGTATTGTTATTTGTGTGGAATCCCGGTTAGCTTCCAAACAATTGTACAAACAAACAAAAGCATACAGAGACATCTCATTAAAATTGATAGTGGGCGTGCCTACACGAATGACTCGATAGCTATACAGGAAAACATTCCTCGACCTGTTCCACTCTCCTTTAGAAAGAGTTTTTAATTTGCTAAAGATAATGATCAATTTCATTATAAACAATTCTCAATCTAAGCGCTACGCATTCCAAGTGATGGAGAACCATTAATTTTTTTTTTAAATCCTGATAGAGATGTTGTTGACAATACCAAGCTTGTATGTCCAGAATGTGCTATTAAATACTACAACAAACAAAAAACTCGTTAGAACAAGTGGGACCCATTCCCTACCCTAATTGGATGTTGGAGCGAGACGTATTTTCTTCCTTTTCGCCAAGTATCAGAACAACACGCACACAGCTAGATTAATATCATATTGATATATATATCCTTTCTAAACCTTGTTTTGTCACATAGACTTACACGGCAACCTTGACAGATTTTTATTTCTAAATTGTCTTCTGTCACACGAATATGTAAATAATTAAAAAGACAGACAGCATCACTGTCTTACTGCTAACGTATTTTCACTCGATTTAAATTCCATTGCACCGAAGTGTAACCAACTCAGGTGCCACGCGTTGGTCTCTCGCTTTATGTCTAATTACACCTGGTCAGGTCACATAACATCATAAACTATTAACAATACCGTTAATGTGAGCCTATGTTTATCCTCCACCTAGTTGTTTGTGTCGTATACATTGCTCTATTGTTTGTATGTTATCAATGTCACATATTGTAGGCACGATGCAGATTTTCCTTAGACAAAATTTAATATTTATGAACAATAAACTTTACTTGATGTTGTTTCAAGGTCACCAATTGTAGAGAAAATAATCAAAAATGCATTTTGTACAATATAGCTTCTATTGTATCAACGTCACAGATTGTAGAGACAAACACAAACAAAACAATATAGTTCATATCGTACCAACGTCACAGGTTATAGAGACAATCATCAACGATATAATATAGTTCTATTCTCCGAGAGGAAAACCTTGATGTCGGAAAGTGCTGATGGCACTCTATGTTAGAGAAGTCATACTTATCATTTTAAAAGAACAATAACTTTCCGTCTCCTATTCACGTGAATTCAAAATTGCAAAGTAAAATGAAAAGTGATTCCAAATAGGTTCTATATCTAATAACAAGCCATATTTTCTACATGGACACCGTTTTCCCTACTCACGTCATCTTTAGGTTCGTCCGCTGTCGTGATCACGTGATGATTGAGCACCAATGTTTCTATAAGTTCGCTTTGTCCACTCATTTTCCGAGTCGTCGTATATTTGTTCTCCCCTGGATCCTCCGAGTCATCAGTGTCCTCCGAGTCGCTTTCCTCCTGTACAAAAATACAACCATTTATCAATCATATACCCATATAAGTAGGCATGTAATATGACGTATTGTGCCGTCCTGGGATGACAAGTTAATGACGTCATTAAATTCCAGACTGTGTAATGACGTTCAGGTGAAAACATGCTAAATCACGCTAGCTTTAATATTTGCAAGAATAATTGTTCATATGATAAAAAGGATTTAAAATTCGTTACTCTTGCATAAGAGATTAATGAAACCTTGTCTTTGCGCCATTATTTTTAATTTCCCTCTTGTGAATAATTCATTTCTAGATTTTAACATCACTGCTTCTGCAACCTACGGTGTTTACATAACGTGGTTGATCTGAAAGACGGCAACAGCTAATTGATAGATCAGCAACAAAACGTTTCAAGAGATGCAAGAAGAAGAATATGGGTAAGTTAGATGATCGCCTTCATGACCTTATAGTCAAATATTCCTTTCTGTTTGCGAAGTTAGATGTTTTCGATGCTTGTTCATATGACTCATCGTTTCGTTGTTACAAACTTAATTCTGAATCACATGAACAAGATTAATAGGGCGGATGCCAATAAAGCAGGAGATGCTAACCCTTCCAGAACAACTGGTCTTATTTAAGATTGTGTTTTAAGGATTTATGTGTATTTTTATATTTTATTGTCGTTTGACCTATTTTTAATTTAGAGTTTGAATTTAGATTTTATCCGTATTCTCTCGTTGTTGACATGAATATGTTGCTGAACATTTTTTATCAAATGTACATTTGTCTAATGACACCATCACGAATGTTGTACAACGCTTGCTTATAACGGTGTATTTATTCATATTGACGGTATACTTTAAACTATTGTTTTACTGTCAAACAAAATGTACATTTTATTTGAAATATAATAAATGAAACACAATTGTTTAACAATGCGTTTGTTCCAATGGCGATATCATTATCGTTACACAATTGTTTAGCTGTATAACAATGTGTATGTTTTAATTGTTACACAATTGTTTAGCTGTATAACAATGTGTATGTTTTAATTGTTACACAATTGTTTAGCTGTATAACAATGTGTATATACAATATTACTATATTACAATGTGTACAAACTTTTGACGATATGATAAATGTTATACAATGTTGTTGCTTTTTATCGATGTGCTTATCTATCTCAGCGACGTCACAAATGTTGTACAATTGTTTTACTACCATAGAATATGTAAATTTTATTGACAATATAATAATTTTGTTGTCCGAGAATGTGCATATTCTGCTACATCAAACCAATGTTATGTAATTGTTGTTGAACTACTGTATGGTTTGTGCCTTATCAAGTTCTTTATGTTTTAAGTGACAAAATGCTTTAAAATAATGGCTATAAAGTCATGTATTACGTGCCGTTTTCATAGTATATACCAGAAATGGGCCTCAGAGACCGTGCGGTTCATATGGAAATTGTCATTTCAAGTATTGTAGGTGACTTCAATGGGTTGGTAGAAACAAGATAATTAAATAAGTCAGTGATTGCCCTTCTGTCTATTCCCTCGGTAAATTATTGATCCGAGATCACATAGAATATACAAGTGGTTATAAAAATATAACAAAAATAACTTTACAGTGATATGTCAATATTGCATAGCCTCGTGCACATGATTGTCATCTAAAAGACGGGCGGTAGATATAGGTACAGAGTTCGTATAGAAATATATCTACACCTCTCATTTACTATCACAAAAAGTTTAAAGTTTCCAGTGTATTAAAGTTTACTCGATGATAATATCTTACCAGTTAATCGACATGTTATTTGTTGTAACTGAATATTCAGTTTAAATATGACAAAAATATCAACACCGTATCTAAAGTGGATTTAAATACATTACGTACATCAGTCTACCTGTCGACTGTTTGTTTATCTTTGTTGTCTCTATATGTTTTCAGTAAGACTATTATGAAGATTGTTTTATTGTTAAACTTGTTTTACCGAACACATAAACTACTTCAAGCTAATTGAAGGACTTTTTCCGCAATGTCATGTAACGGTCTGTAGTTTCTTTAATTTCAGTCTTTATAATTTTACTTTTCATTATTTTCTTTTATCCTTAACAATAATGAAAATATGATCCTTTTGGAATAACAGCCTTGACGCTATACCGATTGTTATCGTTCACTTTCTACAGTGGAATTTGTTGTACAAAAGAAAAAAAATTATATAGATTTCTCATGGCTGATTACAATCCGAATTTAATGTAGATTGTTAATTCAAAATGTCAAGAAAAGTAGGATACAAATTTCTGTTGATTCTTATTTTCAACTACAATCATCGAAGACAGGAAAGTATAAGAAAAGCTTCAAGTATTTAGAATAAATATTTACTCCGAGAACAATGCATATCATAAGCAATCAGAGAAGGCTGAGAAAGTGCAATGCCTAAGTTCAGCATAACTACATGAACTTATCGCATCATATTTTCTTCTCGCGGCGACTGCGCATGACATAGAGCGTTTTGTTAGTACGTACGTAAGTTCACTTTTTGTCATCAATCTAGCAACATTTCTCAACCGATTTCATTCAAACTTTACATATTTGTCAATCATTATAATACCTTGAACGTGTTCGTGTTGCCAGGGTCAACCTAAAGGTCACGGTTTCTATTTATAGAAAATATTAAAAATATTAAAATATTACAAAAGTTCATTATAAATTGGAACTAGGGGATTTATATCGTTTTCAATGACTTGTTATGTTTGTAATTTTAAGGTAACATCAAAAAATGTTTCATAGTAGGAAAGCAACATCAAAATATGGTTTATCGATGGAAAATAGCATGTAAATATGTTTTATGGAAGGAAAGTAACATCTCATTATGTTTTATAGTAGGAAAGTAACACGCAGATATGTTTTGTACTTGGAAAGTAACGTGTAAACATGTTTTGCACGTTTTGTTAATGAAGTTATTTTTTCACGAGTATAACCATTATTTTGGTGAGTATAATTAATGGTTAGTACATCCGTTACCTTAACAGGACTGACGAGCTGTTTATAAGCCGACTGAAACGTCACGGCATCCATCTCCACACAATACTGTTTAAGATAAAGTCAGAATCCTACAATTTCCTCAAATGCAGACATTACCAACTATATGAAGTGTATCTTTCCCGTTTAATCATTTGGTATATACTTAAACCACTTAATCCGAACGGCATTAAAGAAACATGAGTGAAGTAGTCAGATCAGTGTACGTTGGTATTTATGTATACCCAGTAGGTATACGGCGGTGATTATGTATACCCAGTAGGTGTACGGCGATGATTATGTATACCCAGTAGGTGTACGGCGGTATTTATGTATACCCAGTAGGTGTACGGCGGTGATTATGTATACCCAGTGGGTGTACGGCGGTGATTATGTATACCCAGTGGGTGTACGGCGGTGATTATGTATACCCAGTAGGTGTACGGCGGTGATTATGTATACCCAGTAGGTGTACGGCGGTATTTATGTATACCCAGTAGGTGTACGGCGGTGATTATGTATACCCAGTAGTGTACGGCGGTGATTATGTATACCCAGTAGGTGTACGGCGGTGATTATGTATACCCAGTAGATATACGGCGGTGATTATGTATACCCAGTAGGTGTACGGCGGTGATTATGTATACCCAGAAGGTGTACGGCGGTATTTATGTAAACCCGGTAGATGTACGGCGGTATTTATGTATACCCAGTAGATGTGAGGCAGTATTTATGTATACCGAGTAGGAAGGTTCGTTTAGATATTCTTTCATTTTCAAAAAGTTTCCTTTTCGTAATTGTTGATTACAAATATAAATACTGAATGTTTTGGGATATTGAACCAATATTACTTAAACTGTCTCTCTACATCAAAGATCGTATCATAAGTTGATATCGTATTAGTTTCTCCTTCCTAAAAATGTCTTTAGAGAACAGAATCTGCCTACCATCTAGTCACACTATATCGACCTTAGTGTACATAGGATTATAGTACAGCTGTAAAACGTTGGTCGATTCCTTACCATCGTGTACGCTACGTATGGCAGTGCTAGTACGATTCACACTGGTCATTTGTCTGATGATGGTGACCATGTAGTCATCGAAACGTCACTCTAATCTTCTACTGGTTGTGTTTTAAGAATTTCTATTCTGTACCCGTTTGGTAGTGGTAGTCGGTAATGTGGTAGTGGTAGACAGTACTGTGGTACTGTGGTACTGGTAGTGGTAGACAGTACTGTGGTATTGTGGTAGTGGTAGACAGTACTGTGGTATTGTGGTGGTGTGATAGTGGTAGACAGCACTGTGGTACTGTGGTAGTGATAGACAGTACTGTGGTACTGTGGTAGTGGTAGACAGTACTGTGGTACTGTGGTAGTGGTAGACAGTACTGTGGTAATGGTAGACAGTACTGTGGTACTGTGGTAGTGGTAGACAGTACTGTGGTACTGCGGTAGTGGTAGACAGTACTGTGGTAATGGTAGACAGTACTGTGGTACTGTGGTAGTGTTAGACAGTACTGTGGTACTGCGGTAGTGGTAGACAGTACTGTGGTACTGCGGTAGTGGTAGACAGTACTGTGGTATTGTGGTAGTGTGGTAGTGGTAGACAGTACTGTGGTATTGTGGTACTGTGGTAGTGGTAGACAGTACTGTGGTACTGTGGTAGTGGTAGACAGTACTGTGGTACTGTGGTAGTGGTAGACAGTACTGTGGTACTGCGGTAGTGGTAGACAGTACTGTGGTAGTGGTATACAGTACTGTGGTACTGTGGTAGTGGTAGACAGTACTGTGGTATTGTGGTACTGTGGTAGTGGTAGACAGTACTGTGGTACTGTGGTAGTGGTAGACAGTACTGTGGTACTGTGGTAGTGGTAGTCAGGTGTGACAGTACTGTGGTACTGTGGACAGCAGTACTGTGGTACTGTGGTAGTGGTAGACAGTACTGTGGTACTGTGGTAGTGGTAGACAGTACTGTGGTACTGTGGTAGTGGTAGACAGTACTGTGGTACTGTGGTAGTGGTAGTCAGTACTGTAGTAGTGGTAGACAGTACTGTGGTACTGTGGTAGTGGTAGACAGTACTGTGGTACTGTGGTAGTGGTAGTCAGTACTGTAGTAGTGGTAGAGAGTACTGTGGTACTGTGGTAGAGGTAGACAGTACTGTGGTACTATGGTAGTGGTAGTCAGTACTGTAGTAGTGGTAGACAGTACTGTGGTACTGTGGTAGTGGTAGACAGTACTGTGGTACTGTGGTAGTGGTAGACAGTACTGTGGTACTGCGGTAGTGGTAGACAGTACTGTGGTAATGGTAGACAGTACTGTGGTAGTGGTAGACAGTACTGTGGTACTGCGGTAGTGGTAGACAGTACTGTGGTAGTGGGAGGCAGCACTGTGGTACTGTGGTAGTGGTAGACAGTACTGTGGTACTGTGGTAGTGGTAGTCAGTACTGTGGTAGTGGTAGACAGTACTGTGGTAATGGTAGAAACTATCCCTTTAAAGATATGAATCAATAGACCGTTAAAATCCTGCTTACAATCAGTATTTAACCTGGCTAATCCAAAGATCATTACAGCTGGTTCATGACACATCCAACTTTCGTAATGTATCATAACGTACTTAGTCATGAATGTTAAGACTTCTACTAGGGACATAAATCCATTTGTAAAATCGACATAAACAACTACACTGGTCGACATGAAAGATTAATTTTGAATAATCTCTTGTTGATTTCCATTTTCCAAATTTATTTCGGAAACCCTAAACAAGTATTATTTGTATAGCAAAAGCATAAGAGTACTACTATGCGAGCATTACACAGGTGTTTGAATTAAACCTGTAGCCATGATTAACTTCATTCATGAATGGTACGACCGGAAGTATGACGGTGTTGTACTAATAAACAGCTAAATCAGAAAGACATCCAACAATTGTCCTAGAACGTTTTACTTACAATTATATTAGCCGATGTGATATGCTGGGATTTTAATTTTTCATTGTGCCCTTCTATAGACTAACAGAGGTGGAATCAGACGTATTTCACTTCAATCATGTTTGTGATATGAGTTTCGGTTTCTTCTTTTTCAAAAACAGATCCATAGATATTAAAAAAACAATGATCCAATTTCCTTTTGAAAGAGTAAATCTAGAGGTATGACTTTTTTGGTTAGGAGATATTTTATTTGAAGTAAAGGCGAACGGTAATTTAAGTACCACTCTCCATCATCTGATGTTCGCCTGCTGCACTTCATTCGATATTTTATGACTAGTTTCAAGTATTATGATATAGGAATTTTATTGTTTCATACTCCCTCTCATTTCATTATGGTAATTATCTGAATTTATCTATATTTACATCGCAGGAGTCGTCAATAAAGCAGAAGACGCTTACCCTCCCGGAACACATGTTCTTATTCGCCTTACACTTTTGAAAGGTCTCCGTGATCATATTTTTGTTCATAACTTGCTGTAATGTCAGTACTTTGCTCAAATGACCTTCTCTTATTGTATAACTTTACCCAAACCTCACCCATGTAGATGTAGAACCAAACTCATCAGAGGTAGGTCCAGTCTCACTGTAACAATACCTCTCTCACATATTTGTGGGTCATTTATCTCTAAAATTAGATTTTTATTTTGGAGTTCAAGTCGATATACTTTGTATACATACTATTCACGGTGACTTCTGACATATTTTAAATAAAGTATATCTACATTTATATACATAAAATATTTACTAACATCTATATTATAAACAAACAAGATAACACTAACACTTAAGATTTAAATATAACTCCAGACAACTCCAAAAGTGTCATCATGAAATGAAATTGATGGATCGATAACCCCTATTTATTATGGTATTTAACAATGCTGACATTAGCCTTCATGAATTATCTCCCTTCTATTTATTCGCACTAACTGAAACTGTATCATTCATCCAAACTGATTTTTTTTAAAAAAAATAATCCAATCAAGAAAACCATGACCAACTGTTCAGCAATAGGAATTATAAATGATTATCGGCACATTTTGCAGCTTCTGTGTGCAGAATTTAAATCAAAACACAGTTTTAGATTTTATCAATCATTTACACATACAAGAATGCCCTGTTCAGCAGTGAAAGTGAATTTAAAGAATTATGTTACCCAACTGGCAGGTGTTAAGACAATGACCAGCATTTTCTCAAAGCTCTTCTCTCTTCGGGTCTGGCCTGTTTTATACAATGTATCATTATTTGTATACAATGTATAATTACATTTTTTAAATATATAAATATAAAGCAACTGTACATAACTATAAAAACTACATATATAAATATAGATTAGGCCAGTACTAGGATCACGTCAGCCAGAAAATGTGTCTCAATCAGAATAGGTCAGGCATATCAAAATATACTCATCTGTTCAAAAAAATATTTCAAATCACCCACCTGTGTTTTGTCGTAATGAAGCAGTGCTCGATGTATCACTTGCCGATTCGCTCGTTGGGAATTATCTCCCTTTAGTCGTAATGTTCATTGGTATTGCGCTCGTTAATTTCCACGAATATGCCATGAAAAATAAGCCTACAGATACACAATGACTGTATTGATGAAGAAACACTACAATATGATTGTGTGTAATTTATTTTGTGTAATACTGGCTAAAATTGAGAAATTCGATTCGATGACAGATCATTGAAGATGGAGTTCTGCGTCATAGACGTTTAACCAAATACTAAATACATTGAATCTACCGTAATAGAGATAGTTCTGGAGGTGGTTTCTTCACCGCTAAAACAATATAATTAATATTGTATATAATAACTAAAATTAAAAATACTCTATATGTGATCCGTAGAGAAAAGTTTGATGGAGGCAAGACACGTGGTCCCACTTTAAAAAATGCAAGTTATATTATACATATTCCCGCTTTGCTAGAACTATGAACGACATCAATAAGAAAAATATAGTTTATTTATCTAATACTTAAACTTACAGTGACTTCTGTACCGTGGCATAATCAGACATGACTAGACTCTACACTGTCATGGACAAAAGCTATATTAATATTAAACAATATATTACAGTACATACTATAGATTTAAAAGTATGATTGTTTCTGATCATATCACGTGACCTCACTCAGCCATGGATGTGCTAGGACTCCTTCTATAAAGAGCCTTTGATCAGTTTCAGCTTCAAGCATGTTATATATAAGGTCCTTACAATCGGGATGTAGCTTGTCCACCACCTGAAGTGGAAACATGACCTTCTCAATCACCCCATTTCTGCGCATTTTACACAAACCCATGTCATCATAAGGCATGGTTGCACACATCATGATATAAAGGACACACCCGAGGCTCCAGATGTCATTCATCTTCGGATCGTACGGTTTGTTGAGCAACAACTGAGGGGAGGCGTATGCCATGCTGCCACAGTATGATGTACTAGGACATGGTTTTCCGTCAACGAAACGAATACGTTTGGCGAATCCAAAGTCCCCGATCACAGGAGTTTTGTCCTTCATTAGGAAAATATTTTCACATTTAATATCCCGGTGTGATATATCGTTGTCATGGAGATACTTTACTCCACGGGCGATTCCTAGGAACATTTCGCGTGCTTCCGTGTCCGACATATTGCCATTTTGTCTAATATGGGTCAGTAGATCACCGCGCACAGCATAATCCATGATGATGAAAATGAGTCCTTCACTCTGAATGATTTCATGGATGTTGATGGCGTTTTTGTGACTTAAACAGATAGAAATGCTCAGCTCTGTCGGTAGGAAGTGTTTAACGTATGTAGTATTAGGACGTAAGTTGGTGTCCACAATTTTCACTGCAAGTATCGTGCCATCACGCTCCCTTTCCACTACTCGAACTGTCGCGTACGTACCGTCCCCGATTTTTGGACCCAAACGGTAACCCTTGTCTGACACGAGGTCAGCCATGTGCATGAATTGTCTGGCAGTGCTTTTTGGCCGACCATTCCTATGCAAAATGACTTTTGGGCGAACTTCCTGTGTTGAAGGAGGCGTTCCTTCTGGAGAGCTAACGCGGAGAGTTGGGGAACCTCCACGGGGTGTTGGGGAACCTCTGGTGAGTGTTGGGGAACCTCTTGTGGGTGTTGGAGAGCCTCTGCAGGGTGAGGACGACCCGCTGTTATCAAATAAAAGCCGTCTGTTCATCGATGTCAAACATCGCGCAGTCTTGGTTACCAAGATCTGTCTTAAAGATTGACGTCATAAACAGTATGTTATTGTGACGTCATTTGTGTTGGGATTTTTATTGACTGATGTTTTGTGACCTCACAATCAGTGATTATTTGTTTGGCTGCTCTTTGCATATTATAACTAACAAAAAGCCATATGTTTCTGAACTAGAAATATCTCTAATCGGGATCCAACCTTTGATTGATATTTTAACAATTACATATTCAGCTTAATATTATACTGGAATGCCAGATTTGTGCTTCCACCGACGATACCTAATGATATTGTTTATTTAACGGCATTCTCTGCTGTATCATAGCTAACAGTCGACAGGTTTGTTTGCAAAATTTACAGCCGAATAACAGCCTTGGACACAATATGAATGCACAGACCGATTCGTTTCACAGCGAGTCATGAGAAACATATACGTTGGACCTACATTTGAGATGGTACACTCTATCGCGGAGTTATCGCGGTTGAGTCCGTTCGACAGCGCCAAATAATTCAACCACTGTACAAACGACAAATGACTTTCGTTGAAAGCGCGACAAATGGTAACTTATGGAATAATAAAAAATGGGTTATCAAAGGTTTCGAATGTAATATTGAATTTTGTTTGATTTAAACATGATATATTTGAATCATATATATGTAATGGGATTGGGAACAGATTTTTCAGCACATCATAATAGTCTTTCCCTAGTAATGTTTGGAGAGAGAGAGGGAATATGTATTGCAAATACACATTTGCGTATTAAATCCTATTAGAAACTATAAAGCGGTCTAACTCGATTCTGGCGACAATCCCTATTAGTGGTACTTCATCAAACGTATTGTCCTTCTCCGTGTCCCTGTTCATACTTCTGGTATAAAGATATCACAAACATTAGGAAAAACATGTAAAATGTCTTATAAATGTATACAGTGTATATCGTTGCCTATCATTGTTTTGATTTGTCTTATAGTAAAAAAGAGGAAAATATGAGGAAATAAGAGAAGATATCTGGATAGCAAAGTAGAATTAACTCGTGTTTAACATTAATAGTAGGTCTAACGAGATTTAAACATTGTTCAGTGTAATAGTTAAAATAAAGAAGGCATCTTCAACAGAATATCCACACTAACAATACTTATAATTAATCAAATTACAAGAAATATCTTTTTATTATGGGTGTTTAAACCCGTTTCTCCTCTGTCACCAATCGGATAGTAGAAAGGAACTGGTATATTTCTTCAGTTACGAAAGGAGTTTGGAAAGGTTGAATATGATACACATTTTCTGATTTCATTGTCTAACTGGTTCCTTGGTCGGATTGTACAGTGAAAGAAGGAATATCCACACTAACAATACTTATAATTAATCTAACTTGTAAGTTTCGAAAGGAGTTTGGAAAGGTTGAATATGATCATTGTCTAACTGGTTCCTTGGTAATTAGTAATTAGGTATAGAATAATTTCATCAATTGATTTTAATTCAGGACACTTATAAAATCTCCGATAAGATTAAGATATCAAACGCTACATGGAACGCAATAGGTAAGCATTGGTTATGTTCATGTGATAGTAAATACAGAGCACCATACTTTTTATGCAAACTATCAGATTTAAGGAATCTGAATCTGTCACATATCTCTGATTTTTATAAGTCTGTCATATCTGCATGGTCAGAACTACAAAGATCGAGTTGGCCAACGTGTAAAACCGAAGCTCTTCAACAGTTCCTATTTGGAAACCATTTATTTCAGTTTAATAAAAATCCAATTTTCTTTTGTTCCTTTACGAAAAGCGCACTTTGTACTGTCAACGATATTTGGGACAATGAAAAAAACTACTTTAAGGAAGATAGGATAATTTACAATTTACTTACAGATAAGCGCAATTGTATAGCGAAACTTTCCAGAATAAAGCGATCATTTGCAGATAAGATTCTTAAATTATTGAGAAGTAATGAAAATGAAATGGAGCAATGTGCATATCCTAAAATTGATGTTGACTATGATTTGATTGATAAGAGCCATCGAAATCCCGTTTAAAAAGTTAAATTGAAAACCTTGATGATGAAGTTAAATAACAACAAGCCCAAGTGTCAAGTTAAATGGGAATTTGAATTTCGAAAACATTTTCAGTGGAACCAGATTTGGAATAATATTGGTTTATCGATTACTACCAAGAAAATGAAAGAATTTCAATGGAAATGCATTCATAATATAATATATACAGAATCTAAAATAAGCAAGTTTGGGAACTCTAATGGGAAAGGTCATTTTTGTAAAGTTTGCGACGAAAATATTTACCATCTCTTTTATGGATGTGTACATGCGAAAAACCTAATTAATATGTGTTGTCAGCTAGTAGATTTTGCTATTCCAGAATACAGAGACCAAATTTCTGAGGAAGTCATAATGCTTGCTTTTAATGGAAATAAGGATTCGATTATATTTAATACGATAATTATAACTACAAAGTGGAGCAGAAACAGGTAAAAAATTTTATAATTCATTAATAGATAATCTATACTTACATGTATATATTAACTCAAAGCAAAATAAAACATTTCCACTACATGAAGCACAATATGTCATTAATCACTTAACAGAATAAGGTATTTTTTGAAAAAATATAGTGATGAGATGGTGTTTATACGCATTAATAGTGTGTGAAGGTGTAAAAATACAGAATGGATGCTCTTGCATGAAAAACAAAAGAAAGTTAATATATATATTGTCTTTGTGTTGTCTTATATGTTATCTCAGAGCAATATTATGTCAGACTTGTAAACAAGTGTGACCGAATAATTGGTATTTACTTTTGAATACAACTCTTTGCAGGGTCAATTAATATCAAGTAATAAAGTGTTTTGATGACTGAGTTAAGAAAGAATGTAGGAATTACAGAAAGAATGTAGGAATTACAGAATGAATGTAGGAATTACAGAATGAATGAATGAATTACAGAATGAATGAATTAATGAATTACAGAATGAGGGTGTGGGGGTGGGGGTTGGTGGTATCAAACCGATAGCGATAATGTTCCGTTGATTTTGAGGCTTTGCCAATTCTCAACCCTACAGTAAAAAATCAATTTGTCGACAACATGAAGCAGTGTTTGTTAGTTTTTCGCCATTTTCTCCCTGATGCTGCCTATTGTATAAGAGTTGGTGACATTGTGCATATTGTGGCATCGGGTTCATGCTCGATCCCGATAGTTTTCTAGAGACAGAGTGGTTTACAATATAACTAGATATTTAACTATTTAAACATCCGTATACAGACTGCTTTTGGCTTATATATTAGAATACCCGTAGAATCGAGGTGTCTATAAACACCACGTACATTACATATTTTGTAGAACGTCCTTCCAACGATAAGCCTCCTTCACTTATTTGTTTTATAATATTTGTAGTTTTCTACAATGCAAGAATGTCACAGAGATTACTAGCTCACAACTCCCCCTCCCCTCCTCTGTACTCGGGGATGACTTTTCCTATTCTGAATTTCCGGAATCCCGATGAGAGATTGATAAGGAAACCCGCAGGTTATCCATCATTTAGAGTACAGCTGTGCAGACGATGTAAGAAAGTGTTGCGGTACGCGCAGCTCGCGGCAGCTGCTATTTATAATAATCTGGAACTTTCTGCAGGATATCTTGAATATTGCACAGCAGAATGTCACTTATAACAAACAATAGCTCACAACCTCGATCAACATACAGGGAATAACGTAATATTGAATATTTAGTGACGTAAAATAGTATTAGCACAATCTCAGGTTTCGTGTCAACATGACATGGTGAAAATATAAGTAGACTGGCAAAATTTGGAATATTGAATTGAGTATTTACATATAACTAGAAAACAATTAAATATTGCTACGTTTGTATGTGGCAAAGAAAAAGTTGGCTGGTATTGATTTATGCAAAATAAAGAATTTGAAGTTCTTCTGATGTCAGTATCAGATTACGAAAAACAAACTGCTTTTACAATAGAAAAATCCAGGTGCATTTACAAGTATATTGGGAATATGTCCTTCTAATTTTCGTAAGAAATAAAACCTATTGTTAAAAATACATGGAAATTTGAAAGACATATTGCCATTTCAGTCGAATCATGTATTAAGTGTACTATAAACAGTATTAATGCGATTCCGGAGATCAGTATGGTTTATAAAGATATCCGTCAGTATTTAGTTCTTAATTACTTAGAGACATGTACAGGCTTTACGGAATATGAAGATTAGTTTAATATTGAAATCAGTTCTTTAGAGTGGACAGAGAAAGGGAGGGGAGTTATCCGTGCCAATGACAAGACAAAATGTATAATCAGGATTGTATGTTGATGGCTAGAAGGTAAAGTAACTGAGGGTTCGAGAGGAATTAGTGAAATCGTTCAGATTTTTTAGGAGGATTATAAAGTTTGGATATTCAAGTGTTAATCAACGATTGTTAATTGGTAATTTCCGAGAAAGTGGATCAGTTTTAAAAGTATAATTGACAATATTATATCTTTGTCGACAAAACTGAGAAAATATAGATAATTGCTAATCTTGTTTGCTTCCTTACAAGAACACAGTGGGCTTTCATGATTTCTTCAGTATAAATATGATTTAAGTTAACCGTATACCTTTCTTAATTTAGCATTAAATTTTAGCTTATTAACTGAAGAGTAAGGAGAAAGGTGACTACAACATACCCGGTTAGAGCATCCTGGTTATGTTAAATATGTACGATTCTGTTAACAAAGAAAATTTTGATTATGTTGAGGAACAAGGCCTTGGACCTTATTATGAAAAGAAATGTTTGCGTTGTCTACGTTTGTCCTCGAGAAGAAGCCAAACTTTGTTAACATTGATTAAGTTTCGTGCAAAGAACAAGGGATATAACCCACACACCCAAGGCACCACGTATCGCGGCGATTGCTTCCCTTTGGCGGCACTGAGACAAATTGGTAAGAACACAAAATAATTTTTTTTAATTTTTAC